TACAGTCAACTAATGACAACCCCAATTCAGAAAAGGCAAGATTTTCAGGACAACTTTAAGCATATGTTTATGTGCTAAGTGTGTAGCTAAACGTAGTTAGATGGATTTCACAGGAGCATAGGAACATCTGTTGGAAGGTATCTCTGGGGATCATCTAGCCCAGCCTATCACTGAGAGTGGTAATATCACCACAACTAAACTGGATTGTCAGTCACAGATCTGTCAGAGTCTTGAAGATTTCTGACAACAGAGATCTCACAGCTTCCCTGCACAACATCTTTCAGCATTGCACTCTTGCACTTTTTTCACTAGAAGAGTATGTCCAACCTGAATTTACTAAGTTACAATTTGTAGTTGTTGCCTGTTTTTTTAAATTTTTTTATTTTTGCCATTTGGCATTGTTGAGTATAGCTCGGCACCATCATCTTTGTAAGTCACCAAACTAAACAAGTGCAGCTAACTCTACCTCTCTTCATAGGTCACAATCTTGAGGACCCTGGCCATCTTGGTTGCCACATAGTGGACCTCTTCAGTTCCTCTGTTTCCACCCCTCTAGACTAAATGATCCAGAACTGGAACCAATATTCCAGGATCAACCTCAGCAACACCAAGCAGATGTGAATAAATCTTTCTTCAATCTGTTGACTAGAGTTCTCTCAGCACAGTACACAGTTCACTTCACACGTAATGAAAGTTCACTGTTGGTTTGTATTGATCTAAACACCCCAAATGTGCATAAACAGAATGAGAAACATCAAGATCTAAATGGGAGAAAAAAGCCTTAGTAAGGGCTGACACATAGTCTGTATACTAAACATCTAGGCTTTCATAATGGAAGGAACTGTGTTTAAGCCTTTCATGAGAGATTAAGAGAGACATCCAGCACTTGCCTCTTGGAGGCACTTTCGTTTCCTCAGACTGATATACTGCAGAGAACTACAGGCACCATGAAACAAAAGAAAGGGAGCAATTTCTTCATTTGGTCTTTCAATCCCAAAACCAAAAATAGTACTTACACACTATTTTACTTTATGCAGTATGTCTGTAAGATCAAATTAATTCAGTTTGAGAGAGAAGTACCTACATTTAGGATTTAATGTGTGTCTACAAGCACATGGTCTTAAGCTGCCGTTATAGCCAAAAAGTGAGGGCTTAATTCAGTTATAAAAACAAATTCATCCAGGGCCATTTTAGAGCATCTGAGATCTTTTCATGGAACCACTAGAAATTGAGTCAGGAGATACTGAATATCTACACCCATCTAAAATGGCAGACTGAAAGCATTTGCAAAGGTACTAGAGGTTTGACCAATTAAACTGAGCCTCTGATCAGTGATTGGCAGAGTCCTGAAAATTATTCATCTCACTCCAGTGTAGACACTCCATAGCTGGGTGCTGTGGAGCAACTTATGGCAACATCGGGCAACTTATCTTCCAGGCTCCAAGTGCCACAAGAAGAGCAGAGACATCTAGAGCACCTGTAGATGCCTCCATGGAAACACCTAAATGTAGGTATTAATCTCAAACTGAATTCATATGTATAATATTAAGTGTCATTTCAGATGGCCCAGGATAATCCACCCACCCTTTAGTTTCTGCTCAAAAGAGAAAGGAATCATTCCTGTATAATGATTGCCAGCCCCATGAAGTTGTCTCAGCTACCCTCAGGAATGTCAAATGGTGCCATGTGTAAGCAACAACAAAGAGCCGTATGTGTTTGATGTCTTTTAGCTTAGTTGGTAAACTCCATCTCTGAAAATACTCCTGCAGATTCTCTTTAAAATAACATCTTCTGTGTTCTGCTTTCAGCTATAGCTATGATTTATTCAGACCATCTTGTGTTAACACCTAAGGGATAGCCTATTTTCTGTACTAAGTGAAATAAATGAAGTATTTTTCTTCCCTACCTTGGGGAATGTTGGATGGTTTAAATAATTTATATGCATTAATGAGACATCAAATCAAGAATACATAAAAGAAAAAGATGGTTTTATTTCATCATGTATAGTTACAGATCAAGCTAAAGGTGATGGATTATATTTTTTTAAGTTATGATAAACATTAAGAAGTTTATAGCTATCAACATTTCATGAACTGTTATATCACATACTGTAAATATTTCTTATATTTATAGCAAGTGTACTAGGAAGATATGTGCTTTTAAGGTGCCAGCTGCCAATACATGAGACTGTTATATGTGACCTCTGCAAAAGTTCAAGAGCAAACCAAGTATTTGAGCATCAAGATGAATAACCACTCCCTAAATTTTCAATCATCTTTTTGAATGTGGGCCTTCATTTCCCATTCATTTTCATTAAGTGATAAACACTTTATTTTCTTTTGAAGAGCTACCACTGAATATGTAGATGTATCTTCCCCTCTCCCTGAAATCTACTCATCTGCATGCCACAGGAATTCTGCACCAACAGTAATTTGCAACTTAGAATACTAAGAAAGAAATGAAAGGCTACCTTATCTAGCTGAAACTGTAGGGAATTAGGTAGCATATAATTACCTGAGCCAGACAATATAATTACCTACGTAAAAGATTAACCCATATTATACTATTTTTTACAAGTCGCATTAATAGAACACTCCGAGGAATGAATAACTAAAATTAATTTAACTTTTTAACAATTATTGGTCTCAGCAAGGAGACTTGTGATTGTTAGGAAAATGATGGAATTTTTCTGAAATTTAGCACCTTGGTCTTTTTGAAACTCTTCAAACTATTGAACACAAATTCTTTTGATTACTATTTTTGTAATTCTACTAGTCTCATTATACTGAGTGGTCTATTTGCATTTTGTAAAATATTAATTGTGCTTAATATTAATGCCTTACAAGTAATGCCTTACCAACAGTATCGTGTGGTTCAATAGGTGCTGTTGTTTCAGAGGGATCACTGATGCCATGCTTGTTTGCTGACAAGACTCGGAAAACATACGGTTTCCCTTCCGTTAGGTCAAACACTGCATAGCGAGGAGATTTCACTGCAACCTGTGCATTGACTCTTTGCCAGCTTCCACTGCCAACCATGGACTACAAAGATAAAAAAAAATTGAAAAAAAAAAAAATTCAAAGGTGTGAATCAATTCTGTGAACTGTCAGAAATGAGCATGTTGCTGTATTGCGTCTTTCCATGAATTTATCAAAGAGCTGTAGGAGAAAGACCACTCTTAAATGCCTCACTTTAAAATATGCAGATTCTTACAGCTCAGGCATTCTGTTACTCTACAGAAGGGTCTAAATAGCTCACTCTCCCTGCCTGCCTAGACTTCAATATGTGCACATTTGTAGGTACAGCTAGCCTCCAGTTACGGCCATAACTGTCAGCTGTGATTGGTCCCAAAAGAATTATTCTCACGTCCTGCAAAATGAAGCAAGCAAGTCCTAATCCAAATTCCGCAGAAAGGCAGGGAGGGGGATACTTCGTCTTCATGTATTCTATTGAGTAAGGTCACGTCTCTAAAAGTGTTCACGAAATGAAATTATTACTTTTGAATATTCTCAGTGCAGCAGCTGAGCTAATCATCACTGCAAGAGCACATGGAAATGAGCCAGTAAACCAACACTCTGAGAAAAGTCTCCAGATAAACTGCTGACCCAAAACAAAAATTGGTCATGGAATTATTCAGCATGTTTAGTAAAACTCAAATGCCCAGTAGACAGCTTAAATAATACTTCTTTAAACAGAGAAATTAAATGTTTGTTAAATCTTGGAACACCAAGTCCGAGAACAAAAACCAATAGACTGTGAACTTCTTAGAGGGGAAGTAATGTTTCATGGGTGCTTGGAAACTACCCTGTATGTAATGAGGCTTACTATGGTTAAATAATAAAAATGTAAAAAGCTAGAGCCCGTATATCACAATTTTTTTTCATAAATACTGAACCTGTCTAGTATTCTCAACCAAAATAAAAATAAAAAATAAAAAAAAAAATCCATTTCCTTCAGAATAAAAAGATGGAAAATATGAAATAAGCATTATTTTACCATATATTTTACTTTATGGCATGAAAACTATTAATCTTTGCATTTAGTTTTCACAGAGGAAAGAATAAACATCACATTTTATCCTGTAGTTTTAAGGGAACATTGCTATACAATATAGAGAACATGTTGCCGGTTTGTGTTTCTTAAAGCCTTTAAAAATACATTTTTATTCTTCCAAACTGAGACTTCTTCATTTGGAATAAATTAATTAGAAATTGTGCCTTTCTAAATTAACATGACAGTGGAAAGCAAAAACTAAACATTTCCTTATGAACTGACTGAGCTATTCATACGTAAGTTATTTATATGTAAAAAGGTTTTAGATTCAGGAATTAAGTAGTATAATTATTTTTTTTTCTAATAATAGCCTTTTACCCCTCATTCTCACTTTCCTTTAATAAGTTTGGCATTTAATTAAGACTTGTTTGTTCGTCATTGTCATTGTTCTATACTCTTTCTGGAGCTATGTATAGCTATTTCTGTAAAACAAGCAGATACATATATTTTCCAGTTCATACTTAGAATGAAATTCAACTAACCAAGTGTAGGTGTCCACTCAACGGAAATCTTCATCTGAGCTTTTTATCTGGGCTATTCCTGCATATTCTGGAAACAACAAGGTATTTTCATGCCAAAAGTTGGTTCAAATTTCTTAATTTAGTGTACTTGAAATTTAGATAAAAGGAGATGTATGCAACTGGGAATAAGTACAAGGAAGACATGCTATTTTATTGCATAGAAAGAAAACTAGATACTTATTTCTATGGAAATTTTCATTACTTGTTTTGAATGTGAAAGGCAGAGTGGGAGAAATCATGGAAATGCTTGCTGGAAAATTTAACTAATGATTGGACTTCACACCTATTGGTTCATCCAGCCAGTAACGGATGATGAAGAATGTAGAGATAGGCTATAAAGATTTTTTTTAAACTAGAGGTTTTGATGTGATAGAGGAGGAAAAGACAAGACTGGGGCTTTGAGTGATGGGAACACAATGATTAGTAGTGAAATGAACTTTGGAGGAATGTGCTGAACAGATGTGAGAAGGAAAAAAAAAAAGGCTGTCACAATATTGAAGATGCAAATGGAATGTGTGGCAGTTTGGTGGACAGTTTTCGTGTTTGTGGATCATTGAGAGTGGACATATGCTGAGGCATAGTTCATACAAACTAAGTATAGCTTGAGGTGCAAGAGTTTTAGAGGTTAGGTATGAGGCCAAATTTACCTACTGGAGAAACTTTGTAGCAAGGAGGAAACATTAGGACCTCTGGCTGTAATCCAACAGACTTAATTTAGAAACCTGGCTGAGGGACTGACGTTTTTAAGTCTTAGTAGCTTAGATGGAAAAAGAACAAACCTCTCCAACCATGATCACTGAAGTCCCCTGTCAAGTCAAAGGGAAGACGAAGGCAGCCATGAAGACTACCAGGGAGCAGTGAACCTGAGAAAGGCATCTGCCTCTCTGCTCACCTTAACAGGGAGTAAATTGGAAATGTCAGGGCATAGCAGAGGGTGCTGTAAGCCTGCAAAAAGGAAAGTGTCATATTATGAGTCACTGTTTATTCCTTGCTCTACCACAGGATTACTAGAAACTTCCCTTTAAAACAGGCAGACTGCAAATTTCCAATCTTGCCTGTGGGAATGTGAAATCTTAAGATGTCTCCTTTCTGTTAGACCTTTACCTTACGCATGCAGCTTGTAATTGCATACAGCAAGAAAACCTCTTCCAGCCAAATGCCACTGTACAGTACAGTACAGTACCTTCTCAATGAAATACGTCAGTGGCTCCCTGCCACGAGGAACAGGTGGATCCCAGCTGAGCACAACATATGTTTTGCTGATTTCTGAAGCATGTACATTGGTGGGAGGGCCTGGAATCTGAATATCGCCTGGAAGAGTAATAAACGCAGTGAATGTTAAACTGCAGATTAACCCCTGGGTCAGCACTCCTGCCACAGCTCATTTCTGTGAACTCCCACCCTGCCGTGCAAGGCTCAGCTACTAGGAGTTATCATATCATCTGTGCAGTTCACTTGCTCCCTTCAATTAGATTTTGAGAAATAAAATTTTTGAGAAATAAAGCAAATGATATTAATATCATTATTTCAGTAGAAGCTAAATATGCCTCCTGAATACCTGTGCCTCTGTCACATTTTTTTTTCTTTGATCACATCTGAATTCTTTCTATCTGCTGGGCAGAATGCCTTGGAAAATACTCTATGCAAATGAGATACTTTTTTATCAAAGACTGAAATCTAAAGAGTTATGAGAAATTAGACTAGAAGAAGATATCTGGAAGGGAAGTACAGTAAGGAGAAAAGCAGCTTAACACAAAGCAGAAAAAGGAACAAACCTATTAACAATGTATCCTGTAACGTGACAGCATTACCAGCCATATAGTCTCATGCGCTTCTAAAAACTGTGAAACGTAGATGTAAAAATATGTCACCAGTCCTCTGGTAACTCCCATTGGTGTGGCCTGATCAGTGCCCTCTCCCCACTCACTCTGCAGGGTTACCAGGAACATGGTGCATGACCTGCACACCCTAGGCCAGGCTGGAGGAATTCAGCATGGCCCTTTGTGGTCACTCTTACCCACCACAGTGTGAGAAGCAGCTAGTTTTGCTATCTGGGGAATTACAATGGTGTAAAACAGCAGTAGAAAGGAGAGGCTCAGACCTATGATGGACCACTTCAGGCATAGCTATGCAACCCTGAAGAAGCTTCCTCTTGGTAATAGGTCAGAAACAGCAACTCAGCAGATACCTACAAATATTTTATTTTTATGGCTTGCAATAGAGAAAGCAAAAAGTTTTCTTCTTTTAAGATATGTTTTGCCACTTCTCGGGCTAGCAAGGAGCATATATCCTCTAAATGCTCAGGATCTTACATTAAAAAAGTGAAATGTTTCAATAACCATCTCTAAACCATGGAAGTGATGTTTTAACAGTTTATAAACATCTGCAGAAACAATCAGGCTCAAAATGTACACTGAAGTTATTTTGTAGTACACATTTCTCAGTCAAAACCAGGCTTTTTTTAAAGCAAATGGGCATATCCAAAAAAAAAAAAATTATTTTTCTCTTAATGCTTTCTATATTTGATTTCCTACAAATACACTTTTTAAGAAAGACGTATGAGTCTTAAGATAAAAGTCTAAGATAAAATTGCCAACATAAAATCAAGAAAATTAAAATAATGCTTCACAGCATAATGCATAAAGTCAAAAGGTTTCCAATTGATTTCACATAACTAAACCACATTTTCTTACATCCTTGAAAACTCCAAAGCTGGCATAATCTGTAATGATATAACATGATGGTACAGCCTGCTCTCCCAGGATGGCAGGTCATTTGGACTACAAAGGAAATCCATTTGTGGTCTATGAGATCATTTTTTCAGAAATGGTCTCCAATCTTGCAAATGAAAGTAATGATCTATATAAGCAAATGTATTTGGATATTCATACTCCTTTATTAAATACACACATTCATGTAACAGAAATCCAAATATCACTACTCATGCCAGAGTGGGCATTTAGTGCCTCTGACCATTCTCAGGCAATCCTGCAGGATTGTAGCAGGACTACATTTTGTGAAGCCAAACAAGTAAGACCAATGTATTCTGACCCTACAATGTGATTCTGATCCTATAAGAATACCCATATCAATTAATTTAGGGAAATTTTGTAAACTGAGAGAAACTTTATCTGTCTGTCCATGCCTGGGGAAACCATTTAATGTCTGATTCTGTGCAAACTACACCTGTTCTCAGGTGGTTTCTCTTTTACTATGTTATTGGAGTTACAGCTTTATAAACTTTGTGGAAGAAAGTAGATAGACCCTTTTATTTTTTTACTACTGAGCCATTAGAGTTAACATTTTTGACAGCTTAAGTGGGAAAAAAAAATCATTATTATCCAAGCTGAAAAAAAAAAAAAATCACCACATAAAGAAACAACCAAAAAGAGAAGAAATTGAGACTTTAGCTCAAAACCTGGCAGTGATCTCTCCAGTTCTGCTGAGGAAAAACAACATTTAGTGTATAACCTTAACTGTAAGAACAACCTCTCTGTTCAGATAGAAATATTAATTAAAGAATTGGGCTGGATTGTACAAGCTTTTATGAAAATGGAAATAACTTGATCAGATCATCAAATCCAGCCTAAAAAAAAAATCTATATTTAGCTTCCAGAATGATAGGAAGAAGGGAATTGTGGGCAATCAAATGCAACATTCAGCTGTTTAAACTCAGATAAGCCTTAGCCAAAGCAAAAAGGTGAGGCGTTGCTGTCAGTACATAAGAAAAGTAGTGCTGTTAGGAGTCCAGTGCTCTCTATCCTTTTAGAACTCACCTTTCACTTCTAATCTCTCATCTTTACAAATCAGAGGCTATAAGACTATCTGTCTTCATTTATTATTATAAAGAGTTTACTAACTAGGTAGATTTCTTTTCAAGCTATGTTTCTAATAATAATGTTAAATTCTTGGAATATAAACAGACAGACTAAAATCATAGCAATACTACATACCTTCAAGGTCATCTTTGCTGATCACAATCTTTCGCCCTTCATCCACATGAATAGCTGTTAATGAAAAATGTTCAATTAGTTTCTTTAGTTTAATAGATTTACAAATTTTGAAAATTACTGTTCATCACCTATTCAAAAACCCATATAACCCTATTTCTATAACCGTCTTACTAAACTTTACCCAGACAGAATTAAAGCAAAGTCATACACAGGTTCATTCGCTTTCCTAGGAAAACAGAACATGAAGGATGTGCTAAGCAGCAAGAATCATAGTCATAGTAGAAGAATTCAATAATGGGGCAGATTAGTAAACAATTGTATCATGAACTGTACTTTTGTTACAGGAATTAACCACAAAGCTAAAGCAAACAGCATATTCAACTCAGATTCTGCAAGCAACATTGGGGCAGCTCTTTGTAGTCTTCATATTGAGTTTAATTCCTCTCCGAGTAGAAGGAGCACACAAACCAGGTGGTGTGCCAGTACACTATATATAGAGTCTGTACAGGGGTTTAGGACAAGGCTAAATAAAGAAAAATACTCCCCAGAAGAAGCCAGCTTACACTATTCAGGGACAAGCTTTCACAAGGCTCCTTTGCAGCCTGCAGTGGCCTTGTGCACAAGACCAGTTTTCAGAAAGAAATTGTTCATTAGATAGATTGATTTTTTTCCATCTGCCAGAAAAGTCATGACACCAGAGAACCCTAAACCTGTAGCATAAGGATTATGTGCCAGTATTTGTGCTTCATTGAGAAAAGAAGATGTGGATAAATACAACAGTCTGTGAGCCACTGAATTTGTATGGCTTTTTTTTTTTTCTTCAGCTAAACCAGACATACTCAATAGTTTTTTCAAAAGTTACTAACAAAAAATGTAGAAGTTTATAGGATCTGAGGCCCATCTGGCAGTGTAAATGATACAAGTTTCCAGGGATAACTCTCTTGAAATCATTGCTCCTTGTGATGAGTTTTATACTTAAAGCTTAGCAAAACCAACTATAATCAAGATGGAGTCCCCAGGTCCTGCCAAATAGTCTCTGTGGACCTTGCCCTTCCCACGACATCTCCCGCCTTAAAATTGATGAGGTATATAATCAAAGGAAAAAGTAAACTCGCTCCTTAGGTTAACTAAGAAAACAGAATCTTGAATTAAAAAAAAATAATCAAATATTCAGCATCTGTTTCAGCCTTGTTTAACCTACTTTGTGTTCTCTCCTGGTCAGCGGGGTCAAGAGCTGCAACTGGTTCAGAGGCTCGAGAAGGCCTGCTGATGCCAGCGCTGTTCACCGCTCTCACACGGAAGATGTAAGACCGTCCCTCCTGAAGACCAGTTACAGGATACTTGCAGATTTTGACAGGAGCATCATTGCACTGGACCCAGTTTTCCAAACCTACTTCACATCTTGGAGTAGCAGAAGACAGCATTTATCAGTATCATCCCACAATAAGCATATACCATACAACATATACACACCAAGTCAGAATCACAGACGTCATCCTCAAACTATATATCTCATTAATGACAGTCAC